AGAATTTGCTGTTAAATATCTAGGATACAAATTGCTGTGAACTACAGTTATTAGTGGGTGCTTTTTCACTTTGAAAACTAGTTATGACAAATTCTTTTTTAGAGAGCAGTATATACCGAAAAGAATCCGTAGATCACTAAAAATCTACGGATTTATCGGTATAGAAAGGGCAACACTGTCTATACTATTTCACGTATATGTTTTCGATGACGTAATTTCGGGTTGTTGAAAATGGGGCAGCGGGCGGTCGGAAAAGTGTGCTGCTTATGCGGGAAACTCGGCCAAGGATCAATGCCGCTATGCCGGCGGCGGCACAATTGTGCCGTGAGTGCTGTTTAAACAGCGGGCCGCTTCCCTACCTCCCAACTGTGGCCCCGAAACTTTCGGGCCGAAAGTGAAACTTTAATTAATATTTGGTAATTTTACTTAAGGGGGCATCTTTGTATCAAATTATAGGAGAATTTAAAACAAGATTTTTAAAGGGGAGTGAAAAAAGAAACATGATTGTTTTAATAAGTATAATAGTATATTATGTATCAAGTTTTATAAACGCCACTTTAGTTACGAGGTTTATTAGGCACGAGGAAAGCTCGTCTTTAATAAAAACGAGTGCCTAGAGAAGTTTATAAAACGAGTTGCATATATAGTATACTATACATTATCTACAACGAACACAAAGAAGAATTTAAAGCCAATTTTATTTTAATATTAAAGATTTGACATATGTTAACTGTCAACGGATTTAACCTTACTTTTCCCCAATTTATAATAAAGCTAACTTTAGCCCTTGAGTGAGTATTGCATATAGGGCTAATAAACATCCCATGTTTCTTAATAAATAATTTATTTATATTTTACTATGATCTTAAAATATTAATAATTAAAATACATTTATTAAAAGTAAAAAATTTATTTATTTAAAACAAATTTATACCATATTGCATAAAAATAAAACCTTAGTTAATAAGAAAGAAATTTAAAGCAATAAAAATTGAATATTTATTTATTGTAAAAGTTTGTTTTTTACACAAAACAATGAATTTGTTAATAAACAACAAATTTTAATTAATAAAAAATGAATCAATATTTATAATATATAGGTGTTCTTCTGAAGGATCTAAATACGCCAATGTTATTTGTGTTTCCTGTCTTTAAGATCGGTCATTTAATTTTGTACAAAATGACTATTCAATGTCATGACTTAAAGTTGGTTCATTTAAATTGTCGATATTGCTATTTAACGTTTGGAGTATGGACAACACTGGTTGGCATCCTCATTTACATTGTAAACAGCAGGTTGATAGGAATATTCTGTTAAAAAAACAACCGACGCCTCTTCTATTCTAAAATAATAAAAATTTGGATATAAACAAAAAAATTATTGGTGGTATTCACTATCTTCAGATAGCGAAGATCTCTTAAACTAAGAATATCACAACAGAATGTAATCATTGCAATGCTCATTTTAGTTCCTGCTTTAGAGGTTTAAACCTGATGGTGAATATTCCGTCATATATGAAAGCTATATGAAAGCTTTTCGTTTATTAAAATCATTGTTGACATTTTAAAGAAGAAAAAACTGTTATAAATTACCTTCACAATTGGACACAACATCACAAATCGAGATCGATAAGAAAGTCCTTTAAATCCATTTTTTACAGGTACTTCACTACTTCACAACATAAAACTAAAACTGATGATGCTTATGCGAGGGCGCGAAATAAGTAAATAACGTATTTTAGGGCATCGGGGCCATATTTAGCAAATTTTTCAAAATATATGTATAAGTAAAAAAATGATTTATTATTTTTTACTTAACACAGCTTTATTGTAAACATGTAAGTTTTATATAAATAAATACTTAATTATTTTTATAAACAAAACGTGTAACATTTAATAAAGAAAACATATTCAACAATATACATTTATTTCTTACAAATACATTAGGTATTTGCTAATTAAAATTGTATCATTTGTTTTATGGAAGTTTGAAAAACATATTTATTTATTAAAAATATGATTTATTTTGAATTAATAGATATATATGTATATTTTAAATTTATTAATCCGTTTGGTTTTTATAAAGAAATATTTATTTCTTTTAAGCAAACTCAATAAAACAATTGGCATATTAAATAAAAATATATTAATTTTGCCGTATTGAAACAATAAACAAATATTTGTTATTCAGAAACAATATTTTTTAATTATAACTGAACATACGCAACCTACGCAATTATAAATAACTTTTTTCTACTCCCACCTTTAAAACGCCCTTTATCGTACATGTTTCCATGACACGAAGTGACCTTTAAAATACACATTGACAAGTTGTGGCTTTATGGCGCTTTAGTCACGGGATAAAGTTAGTTTTAAGTTAGTTGACAGTCAAATGTCATACAATCGTTAAAATAAGTGCCTTTCTTGTAAAATAATACTAAATGTGAAAATTATTTTATTACCTCAATACAAAAATATTAAATAGTTTCTCCACGCCAATATTTGAAAAGTTTATATGAACATTGTACTGACCTTTTAATTTCGCCGGCAGTAAACTATAACTTAAATTCGGGCACGGACTCTACTGTCCTCAAAAAACATTTTCTTTACTTTCATTGTGAAAAACTGTCAATTTTTAAGAAGTACATTTCGATTTATAACCTTTATAATTGTATTTATAAAATGTAAAAATGTGACATTTGACGGTGACACACAGTTTCCCCTATTGTTTCATAGATGGCGCTCTATACAAATTTTTGATTTAAATCATTTTAAGATAATAATAAGTTTTTGTCGTAGAAAAAGTATAGTATGCACCTCGTTTATAAACTTTTCTATACACTCATTAATTTAAGCACTCTCTCGCAAGCTCGCTCGTGCCTAAATTAAATTCGTGTATAAAATGGCGTTTATCAAACTTGATACATAATATACTATTTGCAGAAATAAGTTGTCTAAATTCAAACAGCATTTAGAATTATAAAAAGCGTTGATTAAGAAAGTCTTCACTCAACAGTAAAATACCAAGAACCGGTATTATATATATTATGAATTATATATAATATTGTGTTGCCATGAATTCGTAGGTATATTCTATCGTTTAAAATGCAGTTGTCTGCTTTTCTTTCTAGAGGACTCATATATAAAATATTCGATTTTAAGGTTATGTTTGTACACAATTATTTTTTGTTAGATTTCTTAAAAATGTCCAAACTTAAATATAAATTATATAAGGTAAAGTTATCATTAGTAAATTCTACACCAAAAAATATACGTACCGAATTGGATCCTTTGGCAAAACATGAAAATGCAACGGTTTAGTTTTTGAATTTTATTTATAATTTAAAATACAATAATTTACCATGATCACTTAGATAAAATAATAATAATAATAATATTTATTCAACATCAACAGGCGATGCCCAATTACAGATGAGGATAAAATACAAATACATTTAATATTAAGTCACAACAAGAAAATAATTAACTTTATCCTAAGCAAGTTTTACATTTAATCTATTATTTATATTTAAACCAATTTTTCCTAAAAACTTTAAAATTACCTTAAACAAAGTCTATTTCACACTACACACACTAACGTAACTATATAAGCATATAAGCGTTAAGTTTCTTAATCAATGATATAAGGAATAATAAATCAAAATCGAGAACTAAACCAAAGTTTTTTAGTTTTTACTTGCAACGCGAAACACAAATAACGTGCGCGATTTAGCTGTGCAATTGAAGAAAATTTGTCGAGTAAGACTTCTGCCTTCCTCTCTTTTGTTAAAAAGCTACTTATTTATTTAAAAATGATGTCCAGTTCGTAATTCTTGAATTCACACTATCAAACACCAGATAGCGCGCGCGTTGCGAAAACCCTATGCTTTTTTAGCGTATTTTGGTAAGTTAATATTTATAAATTAATTTATCTCCACGCGGTCTATAATTTAAACTTTATTGTTGTCAACATTCGATAAAGAAATACCTTGTTATGGCCTAGGCCGATACAAAATTTTATGAGGCAAGTAATTAGTTCGATTTTTTCTCGCTAGGGGTACAAATTAATCTAAGAAATTAACGTACTAAACTGGTTTAATTTATTTATAATAAGCACTAATTTGTTTGTTTTACTGTTAATGTTAAATATTTTTCATTAAATTGTTGTAAAATTAAATAGAAATAATAAAACAAAAAGTGAGGTTAGGCAACCAAGAAAACGCACGATTCTTTTATTACGATTTGAATTATCTTTAAGTTTTCAGTGAAATTAAATGTTAAACATTCCAAACTACCTATTTTTAAATAAAAATCCAAACAAATTGAAATTAGATACCTATATATTGGAGCACTTTTTTTTGTAAAAGAGCACCTATTTATTAAACAATTAATTGAATTCAATGTATTAGCAAAAATCCATTTCTACTTAAATCATGTAGCTAGGTATTGTCAAATTATTATTACTTCTAAAAGCTATAATAATTATTGTACATTTAATGTAATCTTTAGCTAATAAATAAATGAGATTCTAAAAAAGTGAGGTTAGGCCGCTTTGATGTTGAATTAAATTGACCTATATAAAGTGTTTTGAAAATAAAATGTTGTATGCCATTCGGCCAAGAAGCGCCTTTTTGTGCTTCGCTCAAACCTTGAGCTTAGCACAAAAGGCCTTACTTCTTAACCTAATGACATAAATAACTATTATAATTTGCTAATATTTTATTAGTCCAATTATTTTATAGAAAGCTTTTGTTTGAACAAAATAATTTAATAACAATCGTAAAAATTTTATTTTTTAAATTTTAATTTAACATATTGCAGCTCCCTCTAAAAAAAAATGATTTATACAATTTGTTTAATTTTAATTTTAACACCTAACCGATTGTTATGAAAAAAAGTACTAAAATTACTTACAATAAATCACAAATTCATGTGGCGTACCCATTACGTTCTTATAATAGAAATCAAACACAAATTTTCACTTTTTTATTTTTTTACAGAGGCGAGTCAGTCTAAATCAGCCCCCTCCCACAGCGGCTCGAGCCAGGGCATGGCGACATTAATCGTTATGTTGGCAGTACTGACCATAATTATAATGTTCTGTTGTTTTGCCGCGCCCGGAGTGCGAAACTTGTGCAAGCGGTACATCTTCCGGACCTGTACCATCGATGATCCCGACACAGATAACGGTGAGATACCTATAACTAAAAATTGTCTTTTAAAATTTGCGACTTTACTTTCTATAAAAAATAATCTCTAAAGAAAGCAATAAACCAATCAGAGCACGCTAGATGCGCCGATTGGTTAATTGCTTTTTATAGAAAAAGTTAAGTAGCAAATTTTAAGAAAACCCCCCAATTAATTTTTTTTATTTTTCCGACATTAGAATGATTTTTTGACATTTTTTTATTTTTCTATTTCATTTATGTTTTTTTTTTAATTTAATGTTTCCTAATAAAAAATCCATACTTGTTGCCAAAAACGAAATTAAGGTTTTTGAACTTGCACAAAACAAGACAGGCAATTTTATTGACATCATTAGCTAATTGATTTTACTCGTCATCCAAAAAGAATGTTTATAGAATAAAAATAGCAATCTAATAATAAAAAAAATAATACCTTTAATAATGTTTATTCGCCCATTGATAACGATGTGTTTATTAAATTAATAAAACCCGTTTGCAATTAGATAAAACGTTTCTAAAAATAACATTTGTTTGACTATGTTAGACGTTGGATGCTATTTTTAGAAATACGCACTTATTTTTAAATGTCCTTAGCGTAAAATTAATGTAATACATCGATTGTAAACCGAATTAAGTTATTAGGTTTAAGGAAATGTAAATATTATTCTATTAAAGTTAATAATAATTGTTTAGGTTTTAATTTGTTTTCAATGCAGAGTTTAAAGTTTATTTTGAAATTTGGGTCAAGCTTGTGAATTAAGGGGAAATGCAATTTTATTTTACTGAAAATGATCAGTTTTATGCTAAACAGGGTGTTTTACAAAACTAAAATCTTTATTTTTAATTAGGTACCTATAGTATTTTATTTTCGTCAAAAATATTTTATCTTCAACCGATCTATAATTTAACCAATCAGGAAAAGTTTTTTACATACTAGTCTGAAAAAAAAAACAATTAAAAAATAACTGATGACAGCTTTGAAACTATCTAACCTATACTTTTAATAATTGTCATTATAATTGTATACAATTGTTTATCTACTCCTATTGCATAATATTGTTTTTTTCGTGATTAATGATGAACATTATAAATTCCCTGCCTAACAACGTAAATAATAAACTCATTATTCACGTTGTTAGGCATCAGAGATTGGCCGATTTCAATATTCACTGTGATTTGAATCAACCGGGTTTTAAATTGTGAGAAGGCGACTATAATAACATTTAAAATTGGTAAAAAGTAAGGTTAACCATTTTACAGATGTCATTTATAATTACTTTTAAAAATCATTTAGTTATCTACATATTGTAGATAAAGTATAGTATTACACTCGAGATTATGCGCATTATTCACTCGGATGATTTAAGTCTCGTATAATAATATACTAATACAACCTATATATAGGTATAAGGGGTCTATTCTGTAACTTTCTAGTTATAAATAACCCTGGGTTATATCATATCGACTGGTTAAAATCTCTAGAGCGATTCTGTAACTTTGTATTTGGTTTAAAATTTAACCCGATGCCGATATAACGCTGGTTATTCAGAAATGTATATCGAGAGGTATATTAGTAGGCGATAAAAATAACTTTTGAGTTATAATTTAGATTTAAATAAAAAACACTTTCAAAGGTGCATTATAAGAATAATTTCCTTTACAAATTATTAGTACTAAACTTTTTTGCTATTAATTACATAAACCATTTCTTACCCCAGAACCCTGAGTATTTTATTATTTTTTTTTTTTGATTTAGTAATGCGGTACGAATAATGAATCGCAATTTACATTCTTAAAATTATTTAGACTTAACAAGGAAGCTACTTATTTTCTTATCGAAAATCTTTTACCACATATGAATGATGAATTAAGAAACACTGGAATACCTGCCCATCTAAAAATATTGTGAACACTAAAATTTTTAGGACATGGGGGTTACCAGCTTACTCTTCATTTTACAATGAGCCAATCATCAGTTAGTCGTTGCATATCAGAGGTGTGTAATGTTATTAATAATATTCTTTTACAAAGATGGATAGTTTTTCCCTCCACCCCTCAAAACATTAATTTTTTTATCGCTATGGATTTCCTGGGATTGTAGGCAGCATTGATTGCACTCATGTTACAATAATAAAAAATATTCTAATAAAATAATAAGTAGGTATTCTAACTAAAATAATATATTTTAATAAAAAATAATATACATATATTCAAACTTTAAATAAAAAAACATATTTATATGTTAATAAAAATTAAAAATCATTTACAAATAAAAGGTACCTACACATAAAAAATTAGGAACTTTTTCAGTTTGGCAGCTGGTGGATTTTGGGTATACCAACATCTGAGTTATTAGACATGGGAGTCCCATGATGGGACCCACACCAAACTTATATGAGTTTATAATGACATTGAATGGACAACCTGCAGGTTCTGCCTAAGCAGAATTTAAATTGAAAAAGTTAGTTTTGCACCCCCTATTTAAGATTATTCAAATTAAAGGGGTGAAATTTATAATTCACTACTGTGTCAAAATTTATTTTGAAAATCCAAGAGTATTTTATACCATTTTTAATTTATTTAAAATATAGTTAAATTAATAAAAATTTAAAATGGTATAAAATCTGTAATAATCTGTAAATTAATAAAAATTTAAAATGGTATAAAATCTGTAATACCTACTTATTAATAAATTTTGAAATTTTTTCATTAAACGTTGGTGAACGTACGAAAGTGATTGAATAATCGTAATTAGGGGGCACGCTGAAAAAATAACTTTTTCGCAAACTTCAATTTAAATTCTTCTTGCGCAGAACTTGTTCATTTAATGTCAGTATAAACTCATACAAGTTTGGTGTGGGTCTAATATCTGAGATATCAGTTTACCCAAAATGCTCCAGCAGCCACAAATTGTCTTTATTATTGCCTTCTAATGGTTATTAAGCCCCTTTGCCACTGCAAAGTTGCTGGCTATCAACTGCCAGTGCAGTATATCTTGATTTTTTTTAGCCTTCTTCTTATGGGCTTTTTCCGGATAGGCATAGTTGAACGTATGAATGTTTTCCATATTCTAACTGCCTTCACCATCTTTACACAGATTATAAAGAAACTACACTGACAATACTTGACTTATCCCGTCAATAATAAACACGAAGTTGGCTACGCATTGTTGCAACACTAACTTTAAAATGGAAGGATTTATTTTCTTTAATTTAACATTTACTTAATAAGATATCATGTAAATCATAAGGTTTTAATATTTATATTAAAAATTAGGTAGTACATTTTTCCGTAAACACCTAATAAGTTTTACATTTGTCAATGTTGAAGATGGTTCGTTCAAGTTCGTTGAAGTTTGTAGCTAATGTCACTACACTGAGAAAAAAATGGGACAAATAAACTGTTTACCTAATACTTTTATTTGTAGTGAATATATTGTTTATTACCTCTAAATAGTCGAAATAATAACGATAAATATACTTTAGTAAAACTTTATATGTCGGGAATAAAAATATATTTAGGATAAATAAACTGTACCCTTGTCCCATATTTAAATATTTTTTTTATTTGGGAGCAATAAACTTTTTTCTCCGTGTAAGAGTTTTAACCATGTTCGATATGAAGTTAAAAATAACTAATAGTTATATTCATAACTTACAGAATGGGAATTACAGTTAAAATTATATCGATTTGGTTATAAATAAACTTATAACCCAGCCGATAAACATAACTAAAAAGTTACAGAATAGACCCCTAAATAGGTATAAACGTACATAAAACTATATTTTAAAGACAAAATGTTTTATTCCATACGCCTGAGAAGTATCTTTTTGAAAACGTACATAAAACTATATTTTGAAGACAAAATGTTTTATTCCATACGCCTGAGAAGTATCTTTTTGAACTTTACTTAATTGTTGGCCTATATGACATAAATAGCTATAATTTAAACATTGCAAATATTTGGAATAAATAATTAGGAAGGTGTTCCATTTATATGTTAATACTCGGTATATTGCATAATTAACAAAATTTGTAAAAATTTTGCAATCTGCGTCCTAAATTGATTATAAACTAGGTAACTGTTATTATTTAGCGATGAAAAATCTCGAAAATAGATTTCTGTTTATTTTCATTAGAACAATAGGGAATCAATTAAACACTGGTCGACATTGACATGTTCAGATGTTTTTCTGTTTGCCGAGTTAAATTTAAATTTAGTTTTAATTGCGATTATTTCGGAAATAATCAATTTACCAATGGGTAATAAACAAAGGATAAAAATAAAGACATTACAAATTAAACAGATTTCGGCAAGCCACATAATCATTTTTTTTTATGAACAGTTCGTAAATATTATTATATTTATATAAATATCAAAATATGGGATATATTAAAATTGGACTATTTATAAATAAATTTACTTTTTATTATTCATATGTTTTTGTAATACGAATTACATATTTCGATGACTTTCTGCCAAAGTATCGTAAGCCACATAACTCAAATTTCGGGAATTGAAAACATTTTTTAATTTAAAATCTGTTTTAATAATTATAAGCTATTTACTTGTTATAAAACCTTTAGGATATATTTAATTTGAAACAGTCTTTAAGACAAAAAATGTTTTCGATTCCCGAAATTTTAGTTATGTTGCTTACGATACTTTGGCAGAAAGTCATCGATTTATGAAAGAATCTTTTAAAAATGTATTCAGCATTATCCTAAACATTTTGCTCAATTTGGAGCAATTTTCACTCCTATCGGGAGTTGAAAATCATATTCCGGGAAGACTATTGACCCCATGATATAGCCGCCATGGAAAAATTTATAGCTGACACTCTCAGCTACATTTTGTTCATTTTGAGTCGATATCGCATGTCGTCATTTTAGGGGTGGAAAGGGGGGCATTTCCAAAAATTGTTTTTACAAGTTATCTTTTCAGGACAAATTACATTGTAGGGAGGTGACGTAAACTTAATTTTTGGCCGTAGATTACATATCCGTGCTTGGTTAAGCTGTATTAGGTCAAATTTCAAAGATATTTAATTTTTAAATTTTGGAGCATGCAATTAAGAAACACCATATATAAATTTAAAAAAATGAGTTGGGACAAATTTTTCCAAATTTTTAAGTATTGATAAAAAGGAACACGTGTCCCTGAGGGTTTTATTTAAATAATTTAAGAAATTCAGGGTTTTAGCTGAATATTTTTAATTGAATATAATTGATATTATATTAAACGATGTTGGCACAAGAGGTGAAATATAATATTTTAAAAATTATAATTTATATACAGTGTGCAACCGACTACCATCCTTATTGTTTAGCACCAAATGGGTAAAAATAATAAAGGCCATTCTTGCATATTACCGTAAGAATAACAAAGGTAATATGCGATTTCTTGTCTTATTAGTAATAAAATTCGTTATTACGTTAATACAGCTCAAGCTGATCATTTTAGCACACGATACAAACGAGTTTAGTATTTCATCGTAATTAAGACTAACATAGGGTTGGGTTGTAATGGAGGGTACATTTTATATCAAGTAACCCCCTCTCCCCCTTATCATTTGGGCGGGCATTGTCAGCCGCCCCCCCCGCTTCTACGCCCCTAAGTACCTACTATAAACATTTCCTGAAAACAAACGTTTGTCGACACCATCATGACATATCACTTTTAGAAATCCTACTACGTACTTAGTACTAGGTGGATATATTTTTTCTTTCAATTTCTCCCTCAACTTTCCTAGAATATAATGTAAAACAACTTCGGGCCAATGCGGATTTCCAATATCGGTTATATAATGTCAAACAACTTCGGGCCAATGTTGGGTTTCAATATTGGACCATGCTAGAAAAAATCTGACGAAAGATATATTGGCCCAATATTATTACGAATATTGGGCCAACATCTTTGTGCTACGGGTATAATCAATCGACTATCGAGTTCAACATTTTTTTTTCGCATTTTTTTCCTGAAAGAAAATTTTGAAAACTGATTTTATCCCCTAAACATGGGGACATGCGACACCAAAAATGCAGCTGAGAGAGTAAGCTACAAATTCGATTTTAGATTTTTTAACACCCGATAAGATCATTTGTTTGAAGGTGTGAACATTTTTTCCCCAAAACGAACCCTGACGACCACCCCCAATCATCCCCTAACAAAAAACCCCTGGAAAAGTTTTGTTCTCACACTTGGATTTAGTACTGGCACCACCCACAATCATCTGATATGAAGATTTTCCTCTTCGTAATTTTCTCATCATTCTATAAGTATACAGATAGACTGCTATTTAGTACAAAAAATTATGAACAAATTTAAGTACAAATTTTTTCAGTGAGATAGATATTAGATAGATAGATAGATATTAGATAGATAGATAGATATTAATAAAAACTTCGTAGACTTAGTATTTAAAACAGCAAAACATTCATTAATAACATAAAAATACATTTTTCCAAGGGACAGAGAATAAAGTTTAAATAAAAAACCAGATTCTTTTTTTAAAGCACCTGCTCCTTTTAAACAACAGACATCTAACTACCGCATTCTTCACTGACTCTATTTGCCCTACAAAAGTGAGATACAATAATTGTATAATAATTATTACCTATACCTTTTTCGCAAAATGTTAAATTTAGAAAAATGAAGCTTTGAAATAATGACAATAACATCAAATAGTTGCTTATGTTAAATTACAGAAAAATAACTAAATAAATTGATTTTGTTGTTCAGGAAATTATACTAAGTTAAAATATGTATAATGGCGTTGACCCAGGTTTCACAAAACGAAACTAAAAATTAATTAAGAAGCTGTCTTTATCCGCTGGTGCGAATTAATCAAAAATATCAAAATAAACGGTTCCTATTATCATAAAGAGACATTTGTTAAGTTATAAAGTCACTGATTGTAAGGTTGCCAAGTAAAAAACCGAAATTCTTGAAATTGTTTGGCTAAATTTAACGCATTCAACTTAAATTTAGATTAGAAAAATTTACCAACAATTTTTTGTTGTTGGCCCATGAACCCTAAGAGCTTTATATATAATTTCTTATGTTATTTTTTTCAGTTTATACAAGGGGATACGGCATGTACGGGTTTGACGTTATATCAGAAAACCAAAAAACAAAAAAAGAGGTATTTTGTAAAAAAAACACATAACAAACACTAATTTTGAGATTTTTTTGGTCAGCTATATTGAACTAATCATTAATTATACATGTATTTTTAGCGTTAACACTGATTTTCCTAATGTATTCTAGCATGAAACCTAATAACAATTAAAATATATTTAGTTTAATAACATTGATTAAGGTTCTTCACTCAACGCTAATAATATCAGTAATTTATATTTTCTTTTTTTAATACAGGAGTTATATTTATATCTTCAGAATTTCACCAGCCTAAAGAAAAATAAAGAACTATAGTTCGCTTTACAGCGGCGGAGGCAGTTTGTTTCGAGTGTGCTTTCGCACCACATGGATACCCGGCACTAAATAGGTCCAACAGATCGAAACAGTCTGTCGGTGCCTGTTTGTAGAGCATACTCGAAACAAAAGGCACGATGACGAGAAAAAATTCCATGTCCTAAAATAAAATATGGTCGAATTTTGCTTTCATTCTCTGATGCAGGAGTTTAATAAAAATTCTAAAATAATTTATTTGACAAACTACCTGTATCTTTTGATAAACTTTTGGATGGTAACATTTTGATGATATAACCTCGACTAATTTAATATAAAAAACGCCAAAGCTTAATTCTTGCAAAGCGAATATTTAACAAAGCAGCTTCTTGCTACTAAAAAATTATTTATTATTTTTGACGGAATATATTCTCTTTATCGTTTTTGTAAATTTATGCGACTTTGCACATCTGTGTCGAATTTGAGTTTTCAGCAAAAATATAAATTTTGTGCTAAAAGACGTTTTGGACGTATAAATTTCGTTGATGTATATTTAGAATCGTCAAGGTTTTTTTAATTATCTTTTTTGAGTTTTATGTTGTAACATATTTTTTTATTTGTACATATAAAACGTTATTTTTAACTACATGTTCACCTTTAACATTTAAATGTTATTCTTAAAATTTCGAAAGATATTTGTTTTTATTATTACTGCTTTATAAGAAAAAAAGCGTTTACACACGGTGGTAGCTTTTAACTTTTATTCTTTACCACTATCACAATATTCGGAAAATTGTATCCTGGAAAAAAGCCAAAACAAGAAGGTAAAAGTAAAATCAATAACATGCACAAGTACAAACGCCAAAATAGAGCTAATTATAATTATATCGTTATTGAAACGTATACACTGTTCAAAATTTCATGACCATTTTAACACCAAATTAAGACCATACATGGTCTATATCGATACAAACCAAAATGGTGTTAAATATGGTTCGTATAATGTGATTTTGGTCAAATTAAATCATACTACACAGAAAAAAGGAAACAGGAAGTTCCTTGACGCATTACAAGTATATTACCAGTGGTGTTATTCCAGAAAATTGAACCTTCAACTCGCTAGAGATAATGTTTTTAGTGCGTTCCACAAACTTAAAATACTTTAAATATTGACAGCTGTTTCCACCTATTTAAGGTCTCTTTAGTATCGAACAACTTGTAGTGTCACACCAAAGCAAAGGACTACCTGAGCTTATATACTCTTCATGTAAGTCAACAGAGGCGAGATTTAAGAATATCACGTGATCCACACCGCCTTTGCCGCGATCGGTAACTACTATGCAACAAGGAATGCACGGCAAATTGTTTTAATCGTTTTAACAAAGTGCTTTAGGTTGAAGTAACTCTTATTTTATAAACAACATATTTAGTAAACTGAACCATACAGCGGGTTGGTTTCACTAAAGTTTTCTGGGTTAATTTAACCAATTTAAAAAAAATAAAATAACTATCTGGTTTAGTACCGTCAAACTAATGTTTGTTTATATTAACCTTCCCCCAGTTGATTTAAATAAATACTTATGGGTCAACTAAATTAATATAGTTAAATGAACTATTCCTTTTTTTCTGTGTAGGTGCACTTCTCAAATATTTTTAGATAAACACCGTCTTGGTGTTTGCTGTATAAAACATTTTCAACCATAATTCATGGTGTTATATTAACACCACTTGGTGATGTATTTTGACACGATTTTAAGATTACTCTTCACACCACAGATATTTTAAACAGTGTACAATAAAAAATAACTAAAAACCTTTTTGTTTAGTTGGAACGCCAGCTCAAGAATCAGCAACCCCAACAATAATCCTTCTTCCGTATGGTAGAATGTTGGTGGTGGACAGGTCTGTGTTCGCCCAATTGCAAGCCGAGCAATCGGGCATCGATTTCATGGAGCTGAGCGCCAACTTGATCCGAGCGCAGCGGCACCAAACGGGCAGCACTCCAAGCATCTTGGATTCGGAGACGACCTCCAAAGGTTTGTCTCCGATCTCGCTGGGGTTGTCTCCTCCCGCCTACGATGAGATTTTCGGGGACAAGCTTCCTACGGATCTGCCGCCCAGCTACAGTGAGTTGAGTTTGATGTTCAGGAATTACACCAGGCAGATGCAGGGGGTGGAACAGTACAGTTTGGAGAATTTAGGGGATGTGGGGAGTGATATTGAAGTGAACAATGAGAATAATATCAATAAGGAACTCGATGATAGTAGTGTTATATTGGATATTGATGGGTGTGTCCAAGATGAACAGGTTAAGGAGAGTAGAATGTAGTTTTTTTGTATTTTCTTTATTGTATATAGGTAAAATATAGAAGGGTTTAAAGAAACCACAGTCATTTAGTCATTTAAAAATTTCATATTCAACATAAAATGGCCTAAAAGAGATCAAATTCGTTTAAACGATATTAAACAACCCAGATAGCACAAGATGTCCTGAGGACATCCGGTTTAAATCCTTTACAGACGGTCGCGACCAGAAAACCGATGGACGTCCTCCCACACGGAACAATTACATCCAATGGATATCCAATGGATTTCTTTTATGGATATCCAGGATATACATAGGATATCCGGGATATCCAATGGATAACCATTGGATATATAAATGTCCGACCCTCCTGGACATAGTGTGGATATCCAATGGATACCCAGTGGATATAGTATTGTATGCAATAAGGTTGTAATCTGTATTCAATATGGAGATTGTATGGATATCCAATGGATAACCATTGGATATATAAATGTCCGACCCTCCTGGACATACTGTGGATATCCAATGGATACCCAGTGGATATAGTATTGTATGCAATATGGTTGTCATCTGTATTGGATATGGTGAATAAATGGATATTTACTTTTTAATAAATAACATTGGGTTTTAAAATAAAAGTCTTATTCTTTAATTTAAATATTTATTTTTATGAAAACATAAAATAGAACAGAAAACTACATATAACTAAAGAAGTGCTTGCCATCACTCCTCCAGCTGTCATTTGCCTTTTTATCAGCCTAATCATTTAGGGCCTATTTCACCTGTCTCCTTATGATCCCCAAAATTTGGCCAATCCATCAGCCCATTTGTTTAACATGGCACAATGACTAATGTACCATGCCCACCAACACTGACAGACAGACTGTTTCGACCTGTTGGGTCTCATCAGTGTCAGGCAGTTGGTGCCGAGAGACACGCTTCAAGCCAAGCAACCGCCCACCTATATACTAGTTGGGCGACCTGGACAGCGGCGAGATGCAGCGGCAAGGTAATATGGTGACATTTATCTTCTGTGTTCGCCGGCAGTGTTGTCAGACGTTTAAATAATTTCAGAAAGCTCATCAAAATGGCGGTTATATTATTAAATCTTTAATACTTAATTAATTAGTATACCTAGTATACCTATTTGACATAAATGTGGTGAATAATTATTTAAAATTTATTTAATTTATTTATTAAAACTTAATAAAGTACGGAAATATATTTCGTTTAGTTATTTTGCTTATAACCGGCAACACTGAAGATTCTCAAATTCAGCGCGTGCGTAGTACATATATGAAATACAATAATAAACAAAAAGGACTTTTTTAAGTAATTTTTTATTGTATTGCAGACTGTCATAGTCATATTATTAACAGAAATAATATTATTAATATATAAATATTATTATCTGGGTAAAGTGAACATTTCAAAATTAAAAATTTCGTAGCTCTTGGCAAAAAATCAATTTAACGTAAAGTCGTTTTTTTTACATATGCTAGTTTAAACCATCACAAAATCCCACATGTATACATACAAGTATATATACAAGATATCCATATCAGTTATCCACCGGATATCCAGTGGATATCCAGTGGATATACATTAGATGTACAGTGGATATACTTTGGACATACATTAGTTATCCATTGGATATATATTAGAGATACTTTGTTGAAATTGGGTTAATAACGATTTAAATCATATTTATTAATCATTACATAAATTTATCCTATAAGGGGCTATTTTAAAAAAGAAAAAAATATTTTTAATGTTTTTGTTTTTATTTGAACATCCAGTATGGATATCCATCGGATATCCAGTGGATATCCAGTGGATATACATTAGATGTACAGTGGATATACTTTAGACATACATTAGTTATCCATTGGATATATATTAGAGATACTTTGTTGAAATTGGGTTAATAACGATTTAAATCATATTTATTAATCATTACATAAATTTATCCTATAAGGGGCTATTTTAAAAAAGAAAAAATATTTTTAATGTTTTTGTTTTTTTTTTGAACATCCAGTATGGATATCCATTGGATATCCAGTGGATATCCAGTGGATATACATTAGCTGTACAGTGGATATACTTTGGACATACATTAGTTATCCATTGGATATATATTAGAGATACTTTGTTGAAATTGGGTAAATAACGATTTAAATCATATTTATTAATCATTACATAAGTTTATCCTATAAGGGGCTATTTTAAAAAAGAAAAAAATATTTTTAATGTTTTTGTTTTTTTTTGAACATCCAGTATGGATATCCATCGGATATCCAGTGGATATCCAGTGGATATACATTAGATGTACAGTGGATATACTTTGGACATACATTAGTTATCCATTGGATATATATTAGAGATACTTTGTTGAAATTGGGTTAATAACGATTTAAATCATATTTATTAATCATTACATAAATTTATCCTATAAGGGGCTATTTTAAAAAAGAAAAAAATATTTTTAATGTTTTTGTTTTTTTTTGAACATCCAGTATGGATATCCATTGGATATCCAATGGATATCGTAAAAGGCATGGATGTTATATGGACATTGGGATAGCCATTGGATATCCATTGGATAGCGTGTTCTGTGTGGGCTGAGGCCTAGGCCTATGGACGTCCTAAGGCCTAGGCCGATGGACATCCTGAGTACGTCCATCGGTTTTTTGCCTGCGACAATAGTTGAAGATACAAGTTGATATATCACCCTTTATAAAGGCCTTTATAAAAGGTGATATATCAATTTGTATCTTCAACTATTGTCGCAGGCAAAAAACCGATGGACGTACTCAGGATGTCCATCGGCCTAGGCCTTAGGACGTCCATAGGCCTAGGCCTCAGGACGTCCATCGGTTTTCTGGTCGCGACCCGGGTCTAAGTGAAAAAAAATTACACCTTGTTTTTTATTAAAAATACTCCTTAATCAAGCACGATAAAAGATTTTAAAAAAAAGTTGTCAATTTTTTTTCACTTATATGTCTATAGATAGACCCTTTATCCACTTAAGTGGAATTGTGTCTTTAGTTGTCAAGTATTTTTAGCAATTGCAATTTTCCATATCTCTAACTTATTTAAAAATATCTAGTAAAATTAATTAATTCATTGCATTAAAAATATCATTACAAATTTTAAAAAATTATTTTTAATTATATTATATATATTAGGTATATTATATTTTTAATTTGTTGAATAAAAAATATCACATTGGCCAAATTAATAATTTGAATTAATAATATTATATGAGAAATGTATAATACGAATTAAAAATACCATTGGAGAAATTTCTCCACTTTAACATTTAAATTATTTAATTTGTCCTATAATATTTTTAATGCAATAAATTGTAAGAGTTTATTTCAAATTTACCGCCAAATAAACAGTTGGTATTGGAAGTAACCAGTTTAGTGACTTTAAGTTGGCAGTCTGAAATCCGCCATGTTGGCATTGTTCATAAAACAGCGTGTGCTGTTTTTAGTTAGCTCCCTGTTTAGTTAAATTTCTGTGTATTTAAATATATGATATAAGTGAAAACAACTTTTATTATATGGAAAAACCCCTACAAAATTTAAGTTTTCACTTGATATTTTTAAATAATTTAGAGATATGAAGGTATGTGAAATTCAATGGAGAAATAAATAAAAATAGTATTATGAAAGGTTTATTGTTTTAACTTAAGGAATATATGGTTAACGGATTGACCTCCTTTTCCCGGACACCCTGTATATATATATATATATATATATTAACAAAACACTTGTTAACACTGTATTACATTTCCCTATTATAATAAAACTATGTCCTAATTCGGTCCTCATATGTCCCGAATTGGACAGCTTGGGGTCAAATACGGACGTCCTGAGGACATCCTATTTCGGAAGTCTGTGGACGGTCAAATACGGACGTCCTGAGGACATCTGAAACAGTCTATTTCGGAAGTCTGTGGACGTACTACGAACGTACTTTTGCAGACCCCGGACATCCTGAGGACGTTCGGGTTGTCCTGGGTGGAAGTCCTACGAACGTCCTACGAACGTACTTGTGCTATCTGGGAAGTTCATGTTTTTATTCATATTAGAATATCTTAGGATTTACTTAAGTCAAGTTAGGTTTTTGTAAAAACCTTTTACAGATATATACTGTATAACAATTGAAATTTGTTTAAAAAATACTCTTCTTTATTTTACCTGAAAAATCGTTTAGTAAACATCGAATATTAATTTTTACAGATACCCAAAACATATCTTATTTATTTTGTTTTAATCATGTAAATAAAGTCTTGTTATTGTAAATAATATAATACTATATAAATACAGGGTTAAACAAATTGTTAAATTTGATTTCCCCTGTTTTTTCATTGCATTTGAAGCCACGATAATTAGAAAAAGTCGTCCCTATTATTAAATTAATAAAACTAAAACGTGTCTTATAAAATATGTCTTCTTTTGTAGAACTTTTTATATTTGTTATTGTTGGTTTTATTAAAAACCCGGCGCTTCGTTATTATAAAAATATATCCTATTATCGCATATCATGGGCTATGTTATAATACATTTCTCTATCTCTCGAAATAAAAACGCTATTGTCAATTAGATGTTAAATCAATAAATTATTATTATTATAATTATGTGAAAGTAATGTTATATCGAACACCAATATTTACAATATGTTGAAATTAATAAATACATTTTTACAAAAAATATGGTTTCATTTTTTTTCAGATATTGTTTGGAATGACCCGTATGCTGGATTTTAATAATTAAATTGATTTGTAATTTTAACATTTTTTTTTTCAAATTAATTAAATTGCTAAATTAGCTAATGTGACCTTCAACCCGGAGGTAAAGCTTTATTATTATTTTCCTAGGGAGTTTTTCCACGTTTCAGACTAGGATCTTTTTTACTCCAATTATAAATAACCTTTTAACTCACTTTCATACTAGGAGGGTAGGTCAATAAATCCTAACGAAATCAAAGAGATGGCGCTAGTAGCAAAACAAGTTTGTTTCTGATAAGTGCTTTCCACAGTGCTTTCCTTGCCTAGTCGTACAGTCAATCTGTAAAAAAAAATCAGAAAAAAATGA